CACTGGTGGAGTTTGGGGAAAATAGACCTTGACATTTGGGAGTTGTAATTGCTGGGATTTATAGTTCAGCTAAAATTAAATAGCATTCTGAACCCCACCAATGATAGAATTGAGCCACACTTCCCATGCAGAACCCCCATGAACAACAGAAAATACTGTGTTTTCTGGTGGTCTTTGGTGACCTGTCTGACATTCCCTAGTGACCCAGGGGTCCCAACCCCCAGGTTAAGAAACACTGAATCAGAGGAACAGTGGATATAAAATCCAGATTTGATTGTCCACTTCTCTGGTGGCACCCTCTCAGCCTTAGGGAAGGCCAATGGAAAACCTCCTGAGATAGTCAACACAGGCCGCAGTTGACTTGAAGGCATAGAATAATAACATAGAGATATAAGCCAATACAGAAGGTACAAACACAGTCTTTCCACACGTTAATGTCAAAAGTAGTTTCCAAACACTAGTGAAAACCCACGAACAGCTTTTCAATGCATCAAGAAAGCCCCAGCTATTCCATAACCCTGAATAAAATGCGTTCAACGATTGTAGCCAGAGACACAAAGCACAAAGAGCAAGAGAAGGCGGCACTACGTGACATTTTCCTCAAATCTCTCTCTCTCAATTCTGAGGCAATGTCAAAGCTACACAGTTCCTTGACCTCCTCCTCTTTAGAAAAGCATTTTATTTGCAAACAGAATGAACAAACCAGGTCAAGTTGCTTCATTGACCCTGAGATCCTTTCCCCATTCCTTGGATCTTCCAATCCTCACAAAGCCCTTTTTTTGGCAACAACTTAGCCAAAAAGGGTAAATATGAGATGTCATTACTCCTGCTTCAAGTGGGTTATCCATAGTACAAAACTCCACATGGACAAGCTGGAATGTGTTCAGTGGTGGGAGACCAAGGGGGAGAGAGGGAGTAGAGAAAAGGAAGGAAGGATAAGAAAGGAAAGGAGGGAAAGTAGGAGGAGAGGAAAAGAGAAAGAAGGGATGAAAGCAAAACCTATGGATAATAGTTTAGGGAGCTGGAGCTATTTAGCTTGGAAAAGGGCAGGTTGAGAGGTGAGGTGATAGCCCTCTAAATATTGTGTGTGTGTATGGTGTGTGCATGTATATGTAAATACTAGCCGTCCCCTGCCATGCATTGCTGTGGCCCAGTCTGGTGATCTGGAAAATAAAGTAAAGAGAAAGTGTTGGTTTCTAGTATATGTAATTCCTTTATGCTTGTGGATAAACAGTATTTGATTACATTTTCTTGCCCTGGTGAAGGGAGTTGGACTGGATGGCCTTAAGGATTTTCTATTGGTCATAGCGGTTCTGTGTGGGAAGTTTGCCCCAATTCTATTTTTTGTGGGGCTCAGAATGCTCTTTGATTGTAGGTGAACTATAAATCCCAGTAACTACAACTCCCAAATGTCAAGGTCTTTTCCCCCAAAAATCCATCTGTGTTCCTAGTTGAGTATATGGAATATTCGTGCCAAGTTTGGTCCAGATCCCTCATTGTTTGAGGCCACAGTGCTCTCTGGATGTAGGTGAACTACAACTTCCAAACTCAACGTCAATGCCCACCAAACCCTTCTGGTGTTTTCTGTTGATCATGGGAGTCCTGTGTGCCACATTTGGTTCAGTTTCATTATTGGTGGAGTTCAGAATGCTCTTTGATTATAGGTTTACTATAAATCCCAGCAACTACAACTTCCAAATGACAAAATCAATTTTTTTTGTGATGGTCACTTCTTGGGTAAGTAGGTGTCTTGTGGCCAAATGTGGCGGCAATTCGTCCAGTGGTTTTTGAGTTATGTTAATCCCACAAACGAACATTACATTTTTATTTATATAGATGTATGTGTATATGTATGCATGTATGTGTGTGTGTGTGTATACACATACATACAATAGATAGATAGATAGATAGATAGACAGGATAGACAGGATAGATAGATAGATAGATAGATAGATAGATAGATAGATAGATAGATAGATAGATAGAAGCAAGGGGTCAGTGGCCCTTCCAAGACCTTAGCAATGCTTAATATCTATGCTTTCTTTTCCCCTCTCTTCAGACTTTCCCTTCTTTCCTTTCCCTCCATCCTCCCTTCCTCCTTCTCTTCCTTTCTTCCTTCCTTCCCTCCTCTTCTCCCTCCCTCAACTCCTTTCTTGTCCTTCTTTTTCTCTTTCTCTTTCCTTTCTTTTCTCCTCTTTCTCTCTTCTCCAGCTCTAAAAGGGCCTACTTCACCATGTCTCCATGCAAACATAGCTTCCTTCCTTCCTTCCTTCCTTCCTTCCTTCCTTCCTTCCTTCCTTCCTTTCACCCTTTCCCTCATACACATGTCACTTTTCTTTCCTAGTGACATTACAGAGGGCCAGTTCTTCCCCTAGCCTTTATGATACTGTAATCAAATTTAGGACTGCGGATAAAAGGATCCTTGCCCGGCGAGTGTTTAACCTAAACCAAAGGGACCAGGAGAGAGTAACCACTCACCAGGATGAAGAGAAGCCACAGAGTTTTATTCAATCCAACCAGAAAGGATACAAATATAAGGAGATATGCTTTAAAGGGGCAAAAGCATAATGTACATACAGAGACATGAGGTTTTATACACTTGACAGGGGGGCAATCAGCTGTGGTGACATTCCATATTAGGAAATACTAATGAGCTTCCAATTGGCTTAATTGTCCAGTTCTATATGACAGAGAAATGATCTGGTTAAACAAAGGTGCAAGACTCCTGTAACAAAGGGTGATGATATCTGTAATCAAGGTTTGGGCTTGAAATAAATAAGTCCACAAATGTACTTATTCTGAGCTTCTGTTTACACCGTCAGCAATTTCTCAGCCTAAGTGGAGCATTTGGCTAAACAAATTTTGGCTGGTTTATCAGATCTGACATGGACACGTCCTATTTTCTTACACCCACATAAAATGAGTCTTGATTATTCTCCTGGTTGGGAATAACTGGGAGAATTAGCCCAACTTTTCCTGTCTGGAAAATGTCACAGTGGGGTGGCTGAAGGATGAAGAGTTTTGGGTTTCATCTTGTTACATTTTGATACAACTGATACAGTTTGATGCTGTTGCTCCATCTTCCATGCCAAGGAGCATTTTGGCCTTAGACATTCAATTGATGTCCTTAAGGGCACCTTTAAAGAAATCGGTAAATCCATTTAGGTAAGAAGATAAGCAGGAACAAAAAGTCCAGGGTAAAGTTCAGCAAAGTCCATTAAAATTATATTAATTCTCTAATGTAATTCAGGAAAACAGGAAACATTAATCCAAGGCATGAGTAGGCATTCATACATTCCAAGATTCCAAACCATGAACAAGAAATACTTAGACAAAATCTTCCAAGCTAAGCTTCCATGAACTACACTTGAATCCAACGATGCTTCATCTGACTATACTTCCCATACTTGGAACTTTTATCCCCTCGTTAAGCTATTCCACGCACTCAGAAATTGGTTTTGTTTTACTTGAGATCCCCTTATCTTTTTCTGTCAGAGCCTGGCAGAACACCAAAGGCACTGTTCGACCTGTCTATTTTGACTAATTTCATCTCGCCTATCTATTTGCTCATTAAATCTCGCAGCTGGGCCAGGTGCCCAGTTGTTTTCAAGCCCCAAATCCTGGGAACCCTCTGGTAGCAATTCAGGGAGTACACTATCATCTCCAAACCCTTCAGGGACATTCTCATGGGAAGCTACACTTTACACATCATCCCCACATCTTTTAGGGACATTCTCATGGGAAACTACACTTTGCACAGGGGTCTCCTGATCCTTCTCTTCATCAGTATCATTGACCAAACCATTGCCATCTTGAAATTCATTGGCATCACTTCCCAACACTGGGCTAAAACTGCCAACCTTTCAATCAGCAGGATTTTTCTGCAGCTAGCAGTTTAGACCGCTGTGCTAAGCCCAGCGTCTATAGACTTTGACCCTATAGTGCAGTGCTTCTCAACGTGGGGGTCGGGACCCCTGGGGGGGTCACGAGAGGGTTTCAGGGGGGTCACCAAAGTCCATCTGAAAACACATATTTCTGATGGACTTAGGAACCCTCTTGGAGAAAAGGCTGACGATATGTCTGCCTATCCTTCTCTTCCTTTTTTGGTGTTGGTGAACTACAACTCCCAGAATTCAAAAACAGCTTGCCCCAACCCCACCAGTATTCAATATTGGCCATGTAGGTAGTGTGCCAAGTTTGGAGCAGATAAATTGTGGGGTTGGTTCAGAGTGCTCCTTGATGGTAAGTGAACTATAAATCCCAGCAATTACAACTCCCAAATATCAAGATCTATTTCCCCCAAACTCTACCAGTGTTCACATATTGGGCATATTGAGTATTCATGCCAAGTTTGGTCCAGATTGTCACTGTTGGAGTCCACAGTGCTCTCTGGATGTAGGTGAACTACAACTCCCAAACTCAATGCCAATGCCTACCAACCCCTTCCAGTATTTTCTGTTGGTCATGAGAGTTCTGTGTGCCAAGTTTGGTTCGATTCCATTGTTGGTGGAGTTCAGAATGCTCTTTGATTGGAGGTGAACTATAAATCCCAGCAACTAAAACCATTCATAACAGTAACAAAATTCCAGTTATGAAGTAGCAACGAAAATGATTTTATGGTTGGGGGTCACCACAACACGAAGTACTGTATTCAGGGGTCGCGGCATCAGGAAGGTTGAGAACCACTGCTATAGTGGGACTGTAGTGGAATAGTGGGTTTGTGCAATAAAGTCCTCTGTACTGTATACCCATAAATCTTTGAGGGATACCAAGTAGTAGAAAAATAGCTCTATTTGCAACCACAGAATCATCCATGACTCGAGATGAGTCTGAATCCCATTTTGAGAAGAAAAAACCCTTGCCTATATATAGAAGCAGTGACTTTTCTACCTCTGCCACGTGACAGGCACTGAACTCTGTCTGGGGCGCATATCGTGCCCAACGTTGCTCTCTTTCAAAAGTGGCCTCAGTCACAAGGTGCTCTCTTCCTATTGGAAAAAAATCAATGCTGCATGCGCTGACAGCAAGGCATTTGCAAAAGCCTTCCAGAAGCATGATGACAACGTTACGACAGGGGCTTGCTTTGCGATCTTGATCACGCTTTGAAAACCCAGAGTTGTTGCAGTTTTTATTTCTAAATTAAGCATGAGGTGAGAAACCGGTGGGTGCGTGACATTCGTGGTTAGAGTTGTATCGATCCCTTGCAGAATTCAGTTGAAGCCAAGACAGAAATTAGGAAAGGTAGGTCTTATTGCTCTATTATTCCGCTAACTGGTTGCCTTGCTGATGACTGTATCTTATAAGAAATTTGACTGTGAATCCATTCTAACTAGTCTCATAGTAGATTTCTCTCATCCAAAAGGCTTTCAATGAAAGAATATCTTCCCAAAGGATGAGCTTATTGATTTTTATTCAAAGTTTAAACAATTATGAGTGGAATTGATGGTGGTGGGGAAGGCAATCTAAGCAAAACAGCAGCTAACAAGAGAGAGGAAAATAAAGCCAGGGTGAATTTCTTGGAACATACACTACTACCAGCATGAAGGCACATCCATCCTTCATCCAAGTGGAAATGAGAATATTTTTATATGTATGGTTTGTGCAAATATAAAAGGGAAATCAAATATATATATTTATATGTATTGTTTGTGCAAATATAAAAGGGAAAGCATTCAACCTTTCATTATGTTATTTTGCACTGTTTATTTTATTTTGTTACTTTATGTATTTTGATGTGATGTAACTTTTCTGTTGTTTTGTATTTTATTTGCTGCTTGGCCTCATGTTAGCTGCCCCGAGTCCCCTTTGGGGAGATGGTGGCGGGGTATAAATAAAGTTTATTATTATTAAAAAGCAGTGTGTTCAAAGGGTCTTATACTAAGATAATTTTCAAAAATTCTGCAGAGAGATTGGTATTGAAATATTTTTTAAAAATCTAACTCATTTGCAAGGAAAAATTAGCAATGTAACATCATCAAAAGGTCTGTTTTAATTCTGGTTTTTTTTCTGTGTCTGGAGTGACTTGAGAAACTGAAAGTTGCTTCTGGTGTGAGAGAATTGGCTGTCTGCAAGGACGTTGCCCAGGAGACGCCCGGATGTTCTACTATCCTATGAGAGGCTTCTCTCATGTACACACATGAGAAGCTGGAGCTGAGAGAGGGGAGTTCACCCCGCTCCTGGGATTCGAACCGCTGACATTTCGGTCAGCAGTCCTACCGGCACTGCTGCACCACTGGGGCCTCTATTCTGTCTATATAACATTTTTCTAATATACTGTAGCCAAGCTTGCCTCTGCTTTGGAGCAAACCAATCGAAGTCCATAGAACAGTGGTTCTCAACCTGGGGGTCGGGACCCCTGGAGGGGTCACGAGAGGTTTTTAGAGGGGTCGCCAAAGACCATCAGAAAACACAACATTTTCTGTTGGTCATGGGGGTTCTGTGTGGGAAGTTTCACCCAAGTTTCTATCATTGGTGTGGTTCATAATTCCCTTGATTGTAGGTGAACTATAAATCCCAGCAACTACAACTCCCAAATGTCAAGGACTATTTTCACCAAACTCCACCAGTGTTCATATTTGGGCATATTGAGTATTCATGCCAAGTTTGGTCCAGATCCAACATTGTTTGAATCCACAATGCTCTCTGGATGTAGGTGAACTACAACTCCAAAGCTCAAGGTCAATGCTCACCAAACCCTTCTAGTGTTTTCTGTTGGCCATGGGAGTTCTGTCTGCCAAGTTTGCTTCAATTCCATTGTTGGTGGAGTAAAGCATGCTCTTTGATTGTAGGCGAACTATAAATCCCAGCAACTACAACTCCCAAATGACAAAATTAATCCCCCCAACCCCACCAGTATTCAAATTTGGTCCAGTGATGAAAATACATCCTGCATATCAGATATTTACATAATAACAGTAGCAAAGTTGCAGATATGAAGTAGCAATAACAATAATTTTTTGCTTGGGGGTCACCAAAACATGAGGAACTGTATTAAGGGGTCGTGACATTAAAAAGGTTGAGAACCACTACCATAGAACATGATAGTTACATTAAGTTTACTAAGTTTCCATTTAATTCAATGCCGTGGCTCTAAGAATGAGTATATCAGAATTTAGCTCCATATATGTTTATGGCTTGATAAAGAAATTGCCTTTAGATAATAATGCCAAATTACAATTATATTCATTGCTGGCAGTCATGTTCTTTTTTTCTATAAACATAGCAGAGCCAAAATTCAGGCCCCTTCCACACAGCTGAATAAATTCCAACATTATATGCTTTGAACTGGAATATATGGCAATGTGGACTCAGATAATCCAGTTCAAAGCAGATACTGTGGGATTTTCTACCTTGATATTCTAGGTCAGTGTTTCTCAACCTGGGGGTTGGGACCCCTGGAGGGGTCACAAAGGGGTGTCAGAGGGGTCACCAAAGACAATCAGAAAACTCAGCATTTTCCGTTGATCATGGGGTTCTGTGTGGGAAGTTTGGCCCAATTCTATCATTGGTACGGTTCAGAAGGCGTTTTAATTGTTGGTGAACGAAATATCCCAGCAACTACAACTCCCAAATGTCAAGGTCTGTTTCCCCCAAACTCCACCAGTGTTCATATTTGGGCATACTGAGTATTTGTGTCATGTTTGGTCCAGATACGTCATTGCGTAAATTCACAGTGCTCTCTGGATGTAGGTGAACTACAGCTCCCAAACTCAAGGTCAATGCCAACCAAACCCTTCCAGTATTTTCTGTAATCATGGGAGTCCTGTATGCCAAGTTTGGTTCAATTCCATCATTGGTGGAGTTCAGAATGCTCTTTTAATTTAAATGAACCATAAATCCCAGCAACTACAACTCCCAAATGACAAAATCAATCCCCCCCAGCCCCCATCAGTATTCAAATTTGGGCGTATAGGGTATTTGTGCCAAATTTGGTCCAGTGAATGAAAATACATCCTACATATCAGATATTTACATTATGATTAATAACATTAGCAAAATTACAGTTATGAAGTCGCAACAAAAATAATGTTGTGGTTGGGGGTCATCACAACATGAGGAACTGCATTAAGGGGTCACGGCATTAGGAAGGTTGAGAACCACTGTTCTAGGTTATATGGCTGTCTTGTACTTCGGTAATAAAAGTTACCCTGTTTTCCAATGCACTTTGATAGTGGAGCATAAACAGAAAAGATACAACTCTGCATCTCTCCATACATATATATAAATTCAGTAAATGTTTTCACTGTTGATTTTGTGAGCTGTTCTTTATTTACTGTTCTTTTGTTGCATTTTATCCTTCAATGGATTGTAAACAACCCAGAGAACTCTGCTTCTTGGATGATTTTGGACTGGGCACTCAGCCAATCAATCGATCGGTCAATCAATCAATATACCAAAGGCTTTTTTCCCCCATGGAGCGGCTGCTGCTGAGAAGCACAAATCCCATGAAATGTTTATGCGACACCTGTAAGCTTGCCAGATGAAATAAGAGTTCCTGTAGTTTTCACAGTTGTTTAGGAATGGGGTTTTTAGCAAATGTTCGCATCCAAGCAATACTGCTGGGATTGCCTCTTCTACACCAGAATTTCTCAAATTGTTCTCCTCCAGATGTTTTGGACTTCAGCTCCCACAATTCCTAACAGCTGGTAAACTGGCTGGCATTTTTGGGAGCCAAAGTCCAAAACACCTGGAGGAGCACAGTTTGAGAAACATTGTTCTAAACAACCATGAAAAGGATGGGTTACTGTTGTGTGCCTTCAAGTCCTTTCAAACTTCTGGAAACCCTATCACAAGGGGTTTCATTGCAGGATTTGTTTGGAGGGGTTGTCGAAGGCTTTCGTGGCTGGAATCACAGGGTTGCTGTGAGTTTTTCATGCTTTCTGACCATGTTCCAGAAGCATTCCCTCCTGACGTTTCACCCACATCTTTGGCAAGCATCCTCAGAGATGGTGAAGTCTGTTAGAAATTAGTATTCCAAGCTGTCTGGTCATGTTCCAGAAGCATTCTCTCCTGACGTTTTGCCCACCTCTATGGCAGGCATCCTCAGAGCTTATGATGTCTGTTGGAAACTAGGCAAGTGAGGTTTATATCTCTGTGGAATAACGTCCAGGGTGGGAGAAAGAACTCTTGTCTGTTGGAGGCAAGTGTGAATGTTGCAATTGGCCACCTTGATTAGAAGTGAATGGCCTCGCAGCTTCAAAGCCTGGCTGCTTCCTGCCTGGGAGAATAATTTGTTGGGAGGTGCTAGCCCGTGTTCTAATGTTTAATACTATATTAGAATACTAAAAATCCCCCTCGTTGTATGTCTTTCACAGTATATTGCTGGATTTTCCATTGGTATAAATTGCCCACATTTATTTTTAACTGCTGAAAGTATGGTGTGACATTTCCAGGCCGCCTCATCTTGACTCAGTTTAGCACTTTCTGACTCAGGCTGTTCTTGTGGTGCAGGACGGGTTCACAACTTCACACAAGTGAGCTCCTGGGAATGTACTGTATTGACACCAGTGCCTTCCACTGAAGCTTGACACCACATGAATTGCCATGGCTCAGTGCTATGGCATCACCCTATCTCCCCATAGGGACTTGGACCAGATTCCTACATAATAATGGGCAAACATTCAATGCCTATATAAACAATTCAGAGCTAGATATAGATTTATAATGATATGCACTAATTTCACATATGCATTTCCCCCTAAAATGGGTTGTTGTAGGTTTTTTCGGGCTGTATGGCCATGGTCTAGAGGCATTCTCTCCTGACGTTTCGCCTGCATCTATGGCAAGTATCCTCAGAGGTAGTGAGGTCTGTTGGAACTAGGAGAAAGGGTTTATATGTCTGTGGAATGACCAGGGTGAGACAAAGGACTCTTGTCTGCTGGAGCTAGGTGTGAATGTTTCAACTGACCACCTTGATTAGCATACAATGGGCTGACTGTGCCTGGAGCAAACTTTTGTTGAGAGGTAATTAGATGTCCCTGCCTGCTTCCTCTCTGTTGTTGTGCTGTTGTAATTTTAGAGTTTTTTTTAATACTGGTAGCCAGATTTTGTTCATTTTCATGGTTTCCTCCTTCCTGTTGAAATTGTCCACATGCTTGTGTATTTCAGTGGCTTCTCTGTGTAGTCTGACATAGTGGTTGTGGAAGTGGTCTAATCAAGGTGGTCAGTTGAAACATTCACACCTAGCTCCAGCAGACAAGAGTCCTTTGTCCCACCCTGGTCATTCCACAGATATATAAACCCTTTTTCCTAGTTCCAACAGACCTCACTACCTCTGAGGATGCTTTCCATAGATGCAGGCGAAACGTCAGGAGAGAATGCCTCTAGACCATGGCCATACAGCCCGAAAAAACCTACAACAACCCAGTGATTCTGGCCATGAAAGCCTTTGACAATACATCCCCCTGAAATGTTTGCAAATCCTCCCTCTATATATGTGCATTTCCCTCCTGCAATATGTGCAAGCCCTATATATCTATATTCATATATATCTATCTAGACATCTCTCTCTCTATATATATAGATAAATATGTCTATATAGGATTGACAAAGACTTATACATACACATAAACACATGAATATACAGATATATAGGTACCTCTATATATTTATCTATATCCATATCTATATAGGATTTGCAGAGACTGGCAAACATGTGAGGGGAAAATTAATATAAAAATAATGTGTGTGTGTCTACCTATCTATCTACCTACCTACCTACCTACCTACCTATCTATCTATCTATCTATCTATCTATCTATCTATCTATCTATCTATCTAGATATACAGGTACATGGAAATCTCTAGATATCTTTATGCATATAGGATTTGCAAAGGCCTGCAAACATACGAGGGGAAAACTTGTATATCTATATAAATAAAATGTAATGTTTGTTTGTGGGATTAACATAATTCAAAACCCACTGGACGAATTGCCACCAAATTTGGCCACAAGACACCTACTAACCCAGGGAGTGACCATCACTCAAAAAAATTGATTTTGTCATTTGGGAGTTGTAGTTGCTGGGATTTATAGCTTACTTACAATCAAAGAGCATTCTGAACTCCACCAATGATGGAATTGAACCAAACATGGCACACGGGACTCCCGTGACCAACAGAAAACACTAGAAGGGTTTGGAGGGCATTGACGTTGAGTTTGGAAGTTGTAGTTCACCTACATCCAGAGAGCACTGTGGACTCAAACAATGATGGTTCTGGACCAAACTTGGCATGAATATTCCATATGCCCAAATACGAACACAGATGGAGTTTGGGGGAAATAGACCTTGACATTTGGGAGTTGTAGTTACTGGGATTTATAGTTCACCTACAATCAAAGAACATGCTGAACCCCACCAACGACAGAATTGGGGCAAACTTCCCACACAGAACCCCCATACTTAAGGCCATCCAGTCCAACTCCCTTCAACAAGGGAAGAAACGTAATCAAAACCCTCCTGACAAAGAGCCATCCAGCCATAGATATAGATAGATATGATTCACACACAGAGAGATATAGTATCATAGATGTGAAAGGGATTCCTAAAGAAGGACAATTGTATGTTGCATGTTCCATAGTAGGCAAACCAGACAATCTCCACATCGACATTGACAAAGAAACAGAAAGAAATACTGTTTACTCAGAAGCATAAAGAAATTACATATATTAGAAACCAACACTTTCTCATTACTTTATTTTCCAGATCACTAGACTGGGCCACAGCAACGCGTGGCAGGGGACCGCTAGTACTATATATATGTATATGTATAAAGCTTGTATATACTATATATGTGGTATGTTAAAAGTTTATTTTCAGATTAACACAGTTTATTATTCTTGAACCTTGTGGTCCCTGCTAACAACAAGCTGGTATCTGGTCCAAAAAAAGGTTAGGTCTAAATGCACCCTTGCAGGTTTCTCATTCATAGGGTTTCTTTAAGTCGAAACCAACGTGATATTGATCTGCAAATTGTTTTGTTTTTCCCAAAGACTTAACATTAGGCAATGTGTTTTATTCATTGCAATCAAATCCAAGTTAAGTGTATGCACTTTAAAACTAATGGCTTCGCTGCTGTTAAGAACTCCATCTATCATGCCATTCTGACGTGAGCAATAAAACACTGTAAGGAATGCAGTTGGCTGGAAGCGCTCCTTCCATGGGACTGATGGATTGAAGGAATCAAAGGCAAAGCTTTCTTGAAGCTTCATTGCTCTGTCGGGAAGATGTGTTTCTGTTTACCTGACTGTACTCTGCTTCTCCATCCAAAATCCCACACCACTGCTTTTTCATCTGACTGGAAATGTTTCAGAGTTTGCAAAGAAAAAGTCAATGCATTTGAAGGAGAGATAAAATCTATGGTTCCACCTACTTAGGTGATCCTTCATAGCTCAAGGATGATTGTCCTCCAAGTGTAGTGTCTTGGTGGTGGGCCCTATTCTTCATGAGCATGTTCTCCCGCAGTGAAGACATCGGATTCTAGGTGGAAGGTGATCCTGGTCGGGGTTGGCTTAACATGCCTTCCTTTTCTCCTTTTCGCATGTTTCTCCTTTTCGCCCTCCATTCATGCCTCTTCGAATTCTGCAGCACTGCTGGTCACAGCTGACCTCTAATTAGAGTGCTCAAGGGCCAGGGCTTCCAAGTTCTCGGTATCTATGCCACAGTTTTTAAGGTTGGCTTTAAGCTCATCTTTAAATCTCTTTTCCTGTCCACCAACATTCCTTTTTCCATTCTTGAGTTCGGAGTAGAATAACTGCTTTGGGAGACGGTGATTGGGCATTCGGACAACATGGCCAGTCCAGCGGAGTTGATGGTGGAGGACCATCGCTTCAATGCTGGAGGTCTTTGCTTCTTCCAGCATACTGACATTTGTCCACCTGTCTTCCCAAGAGATTTGCACGATTTTTCGGAGGCAACACTGATGGAATTGTTTCAGGAGTTGCGTATGATATTTATGGAAAGTCCATATTTCGCAGGCGTATAGCAGGGTTGGAAGGACAATGGCTTTATAAACAAGCACCTTGGTCTCCCTATGGATGTCCCAGTACTCAAACACTCTCTGCTTCATTCGGAAGAGTGCTGCACTCACAGAGCTCATATCACAGAATATGCCCTCTGTGAGAACATGTTAGGTCCTTCAAAAAATTCTATGGTATGTGTCCAATTCTATCATTAGTGGAGTTCAGAATGCTCTTTGATTGCAGGTCAACTATAAATCCCAGCAAATACAATTCCCAAATGACAAAATCAACCCTCTCCCCAACCTCACCAGTATTCAGATTTGGATGTATCGGGTATTTGTGCCAAATTTGGTCCAGTGAATGAAAATACATCCTGCATATCAGATATTTACATTACGATTCATAACAGTAGAAAAATTACAGTTATGAAATAGCAACAATAATAATTTTATGGTTGGGGGTCATCACAGTATGAACTTTATTAAGGGGTCACAGCATTAGGTAGGTTGAGAAACACTGCCTTAGCATGAGAACAACCATTAGATTTTGCATTGTGTAAAAATGCACTGGAACATAACAGATGTTTGTGTTCTTCTTCACCTGTAGATGTGTGATAACCATTTGCAATGAAGGAACAGCAGTATGGTTTCCCATTAAAAGTGGCCCTCAGAATGGAGTCAAAGATCTTTCCATGGCTGTAGCTGCACCAGAAGACGTCTTCAACCTGCTTCTTTTTCATCATGCCTTTTTCTTGTGATGGATACAGACCCAAAGACGGCCTCTTCCTCAGCTTTTTTGTGAAGCAGCATAGCCATGGCGTATGGATTGTTTTATGTGACCATGTTTCCCCCCCCAAAATCAAATGGCAACGTGTTAAAAATGTTTCTGGATAAATTCACATTCAAGAGGATGACAATGCAAGAGGAAAGAATCCTTCAATATCTCTGAATTATTACAGAAACAAACCCAAACATCTCCAAAACAAACGAAATGAATCCTCCGAAAAGCACAAAGATTTTGGGACAGGCGGCACTTATGTAAGATTTGGTTTCATTACATAATGTCAAGAAAGCAGGCAACACATGGATTCTGCATTTGCTACTTCTCAAATTGTCCTATTTCCTTTCTTTGAAGGCTCAAATAAGCTCAGCTCTTGAGCTGATCATCTTACCCTTTTCCAGCACTTCGTGGAAAGCACAATGGTGGCGGACGGCGCTGGATGCAACGGAGAGAACGATTTCTCAAAGCGTTTCTACGCCATCACGTACACCATCATCTTGGTGCCAGGACTGATCTGGAACATTCTAGCTCTCTGGGTGTTTTATGGCTATATGAAAGAAACCAAGCGAGCTGTGATTTTCATGATGAACCTCGCCGTGGCAGACTTGGCGCAGGTTCTGTCTTTGCCCCTTCGGATTTTCTATTATCTGTCCGAAAGCTGGCATTTGGGCAGAGAAGTCTGCATGTTTTGCTTCTACTTGAAATATGTCAACATGTACGCAAGCATCTTCTTTTTAGTCTGCATCAGCGTGCGGCGTTTTTTATTCATCATGTATCCCTTCAAGTTCAGTGACTGCAAACGCATCTATGACATCTACATCTCCTTAGCAGGGTGGATTGTCGTCTGTGCGGGTTGCCTGCCTTTCCCCCTTCTACGGCTTACCTCCAACGAGACCCACACAAGCAACAAATGCTTCGTGGATCTTCCCGTTAAGGCCGTAGATGGGACCATCTCCATTGTGATGATGACCGTCGGCGAACTGGTTGGATTTGTGACTCCTTTGCTGATCATCCTGTACTGTTCGTGGAAGACCATCTTGTCTCTCAAGGAGAAGAACTTGGTCTCTCAAGACCTTGGAGAGAAACGGAAAGCTCTCAAGATGATCTTGACCTGTGCGGTGGTCTTCCTGATCTGCTTTGCTCCCTACCACATCAGCTTCCCTCTGGATTACTTGGTGAAAGCCAACAAAATCAAGGATTGCTACGCTCGAAAGGTGATTTTGATATTCCACGCAGTGGCCTTGTGCCTTGCCAGCATGAACTCTTGCGTGGACCCGGTCATTTATTATTTTACCACTGACGAGTTCCGAAGACGGCTCTCAAGGCAGGATTTACAGGACAGCATTCACCTCCACAACAGACGCTACAGAAACCGGGTTGACTCAATGCAAGGGAGTGCCATTGAGGATGTAGTGGAAAAACCCAATAGTACTACCTGATATGGCTTCAGGGGTCTAGGGAGCTCTGAATTGTATTGGTGTGGCATGAGCAAGGTTCTGATGTTCTTGCAAATTTATGGACTACTTGACTTTTAAACAATCTACTAGTACAGTGTTTCTCAACCCTCCTAATGCCACATCTCTTAACACAGTTAAGAGATGTTGTGATGACCCCCAACCATAAAATTATTTTTGTTGCTACTTCATAATTGTAATTTTGCTACTATTATGCATCGTAATGTAAATATATGCTATGCAGGATGTATTTTCATTCACTGGACCAAATTTGGCACAAATACCCGATATGTCCAAATTTGAATACTGGTGAGGTTGGAGGAGATAATTGATTTTGTCATTTGGGAGTTGTAGTTTCTGGGATTTATAATTCACCTACAATCAAAGAGCATTCTGAACACCAATGATGGAATTGAACCAAACTTGGCACACAGTTCTCCCATGACCAACAGAAAATACTGGAAGGGTTTGGTGGGCATTGACCTTGAGTTTTGGAGTTGTAGTTCACCTACATCCAGAGAGCACTGTGGACTCAAGCAATGATGGATCTGGACCAAACTTGGCATGAATCCTCAATATGCCCAAAATGAACACTGGTGGAGTTTGGGAAAATAGACCTTGGGAGTTGTAGTTACTGGGATTTATAGTTCATGTACAATCAAAGAGCATTCTGAACCCCACCAATGATAGAATTGGGCCAAACTTCCCACACAGAACCCCCATGACCAACAAAAAATATGGTATTTTCTTATGGTCTTTGGCGACCCCTATGACACCTCTAGTAACCCCCTCCCCAGTGGTCACAACCCCCCAGGTTGAGAAACACTGTACTAGTAGATTTTCTTAAGGTGGTATGCTCCCATAAGGAGATTACCTCACGAAGCAGGCAAATTACAATTACAGCAGGACACTATATTTGCCTTTGGTTTATCATATGATGACGCTCTTCTTCTCTCCCTCAAAAGTCTTTCATTTGCAAACACAAATAATCAGTGAATGGCCTCCTTTTTTGTAAAAAAAGAAATGCCTTCCCTTAGTCTCCCACTGGGATGAAGAACAATGGCTTCAGACTACAAGAAAGGAGATTCCACCTGGACATGAGAAGAACTTCCTGACTGTGAGAGCCGTTCAGCAGTGGAACTCTCTGCCCCAGAGTGTGGTGGAGGCTCCTTCTTTGGAAGCTTTTAAACAGAGGCTGGATGGCCATCTGTCGGGGTGCTTTGAATGTGATTTTCCTGCTTCTTTGCAGAATGGGGTTGGACTGGATGGCCCATGAGGTCTCTTCCTGTGATTCTATGAGCAACACCATGTGATATGTCTATTATCCTGCTGTAATTGTGATCCACGTGCCTCGTGTGATAAGCTCTTATGCTTTCCTATGGATGTGTCTGTAAGATCAAAACACTAATGCCCAGCCTGGCCCTGCCTAAAGCAAAAGGTGTATCTACACTGTAGAATTAATGCAGTTTAGTGCCATGGCTCAGTGCTACGGCATCCTGGGAGCTGTAGTTTGGTGAGGCTCCCGGACTCTTACTTACTTCTGGAAATGATGTTAGGAATTAATTGATTTCATATGCATTTGCAAAAGATTATGTGCTTCCACATTGGTAACAATGAATTTGGGCCTCATCATGCTAGAGAATGAATCCACTGCAAATCCAGTTTCTGCCTCCTGCAGAATTCTGGGGTTTGTAGTTTAGGGAGGAGCTTAACACCCTTCCTAAACTACAAACCCCAGAATTCTGCAGGAGGCAGAAACTGGATTTGTGACGTTCCATATTCGGAGACACCGATTGTTAGGTTGCAAAGCTCTTCAAGATTAGAAATGTCTCAGGAAAAAACCCAACGAAGTTGCCACCTTAACATGGCAAATATATAAAAACTCAAATCCTCGCCTGGATAAGCTAAGCAACTCTTGATCCAGACAGATCTATGTGTTGTTTCCACATTATGTTGCAACTGATGCTCTTTCCTTCCTGTATATGAAAACATTTGCAAACATCGGGAGATTTCCTATCCAAATGAATTGAAAGACGGGGTGCTCCTTATGTTTTGTTTACCTTGTATCGGAGCTCTGATGCGACACATTTTGCTTTTGCTGAACTTTTCAAAAAATATTTGGACATGTCAAAATGACTGTGAAGTGTTAATTTAATATGTCTGAAGGAGGTAATTTATTTTAAATATATATATTTTTGTACCACATCGAACTTGGACTACTGTGTTGTTTGTAAGGCCGCCATGGGGAAAAACAAGGGCAGACTCTTCCCCTTCCTAGTATGGGTGTGCATGCACCTTCATTTTATATTAACCCCATAAATTTCATAGGGTTTTCTAAGAATGTGCAGTCCCTTCCTCTGAAATTATAGCCTCTGGCATGTAGTATGCTAAACAGGGCTTGACAGCAGTATGTATGAAAAAGATCTTGGAGTCCTCGTGGACAACAAGTTAAACATGAGCCAACAATGTTTCGCAGCAGCTAAAAAAGCCAATGGGATTTTGGCCTGCGTCAATAGGAGCATATTGTTTAGATCCAAGGAAGTCATGCTACCCCTCTATTCCACTTTGGTTAGACCACATCTGAGAATGAAGCAGAGAGTGTTTGAGGACCGGGACATCCGTAGAGAGACCAAGGTGCTTGTTTATAAAGCCATTGTCCTCCCAACCCTGTTCTATGCCTACGAAACGTGGACTGTCTACAGATGTCATACACAACTCCTGGAACGATTCCATCAGCGCTGCCTCCAAAAAATCCTGCAAATCTCTTGGGAAGACAGGCAGACAAATGTCAGCATGTTGTAGGAGGCAAATACCACCAGCACTGAAGTGATGCTCCTCCGCCATAGACTCCGCTGGACCGGCCACGTTGTTTGAATGTCCGATCACCATCTCCCAAAGCAGTTACTCTACTCTGAATTCAAGAACTGAAAAGGGAATGTTGGTGGGCAGGAAAAGAGATTTAAAGATGGGCTTAAAGCCATCTTCAAGAACTGTGGCATAGACACCGAGAACTGGGAAGCCTTGTCCCTTGAGTGCTCTAAGTGGAGGTCAGCTGTGACCAGCAGTGTTGCAGAATTCGAAGAGGCACAAATGGAGGGTGTAAGAGAGAAACGTTCCAAGAGAAAGGCATGTCAAGCCAATCCTGACTGGGATCGCCTTCCACCTGGAAACCGATGTCCTCACTGCGGGAGAACATCCGGATCAAGAATAGGGCTCCACAGCTACCTACGGATTGCCTAAGTAAGTAAGTAACACCTGAAATCACACTGTGTCCAGTTCTGGGCACTGCAATCTAAGGAAGGTGTTGACAACCTGGAATTTGTCCAGAGGAGGGTGACTCAAATAATCAAGGGTCTGGAGAACAAGCCTTATGAGGAGTGGCTTAAGGAGATGGGCATGTTTAGCCTGCAGAAGAGAAGGCTGAGAGGAGACATGATGAGGACCATGTATAAATATGCCTCAGTCCCTTTCCTTTCACCCCTCAGCCACTTAAGTTGGGCACCACAATTCAAGGGAGACGTTAATAAGCTGGAATGTCTCCAATAGAGGGCAACTAAAATGATCAAGGGTCTGGAGAATAAGCCCTATGAGGAGCGGCTTAAAGAGCTGCACATGTTTAGCCTGAAGAAGAGAAGGCTGAGAGGAGACGTGATAGCCATATATAAATATGTGAGGGGAAGTAATAGAGCTTGTTTTTTGCTGCCCTGGAGACTAGGATGCAGTGGAGCAATTGCTTCAAACTACAGGAAAGGAGATTCCATCTGAACATTAGGAAGAACTTCCTGACTGTGAGAGCTGTTCAGCAGTGGAACTCTCTGCCCTGAGTGTGGTGGAGGCTCCTTCTTTGGAGGCTTTTAAACAGAGGCTGGATGGCCATCTGTTGGGGGGGGGGGGGTGCTTTGAATGCGATTTTCCTGCTTCTTGGCAGAATGGAGTTGGACTGGATGGCCCATGAGCTCTCTTCCAACTATGTGATTTTATGAACTTGTTTAACTTCCAAGATCAAATGGGTTCTGATGTCTGTAAGGCATTGAAGTTACCCTTCCCAATAAGCTCAGGTAAAAGCAAACTGCTGAAGCTTCTCTTTCTTCCTCATGAATAACTTTTGCCAACTTGCTCAAACTCTGATGTTGCTCTAACCTGCCTTAGTTTTCCTCCGAGGATTGTTGGAGGATAGACATATTGTCTTGAGCTTTCCAATGAACGTCTGCGCCACCAACGCATAAACATGAACATCTCTGTCTGGAACAAAAACACCTGCTGCTACCCACACACACAATAAAGCTTTGTTCTACCAACACCTTCGCTCTCTTCTGCCTCCTCTGTAACAACCAAATGGAAACCACAGCTTCACAAAGGCGAGATCGGAAGAACTTGAAGCAGCGAGCAGAGTTCAAACATGGCAAGGCTGCAGGTGGGTGAAGGAAGGAAACAGGATGAGATGGGGCACGTTGTCTTGATTCAGACAAGTGATAGATAGTATGTGTCATGAACAGAGGCAGCAGACCTACCCAGGTCTCAATCAGTCAGTTGCTGATTTATCATGACTGACACAGTCGGCCCTCCGTACCCACTGCGACTGTATTTGCAGACTCAGTTATCCACGGCATCAAAATATTTTTTCAAAATTCCCGAAAGCAAACTTTGATTTTGCCATTTTATAAAAGGGACACCATTTTATTCCCTAGGTAAAGCTAAAGGTTTATCCTCTTAAGAGAGCAGTACATGTGAAAAAGATCTTGGAGTCCTCGTGGACAACAAGTTAAACATGAGCCAACAATGTGATGTGGCGGCAAAAAAAGCCAATGGGATTTTGGCCTGCATCAATAGGAGCATAGTGTCTAGGTCCAGGGAAGTCATGCTCCCCTCTATTCTGCTTTGGTTAGACCACACCTGGAATATTGTGTCCAATTCTGGGCACCACAATTCAAGAGAGATATTGACAAGCTGGAATGTGTCCAGAGGAGGGCGACTAAAATGATCAAGGGTCTGGAGAACAAGCCCTATGAGGAGCGGCTTAAGGAGCTGGGCATGTTTAGCCTGAAGAGAAGGCTGAGAGGAGATATGATAGCCATGTATAAATATGTGAGAGGAAGCCACAGGGAGGAGGGAGCAAGCTTGTTTTCTGCTTCCGTGGAGACTAGGACGCGGAACAATGGCTTCCAAACTACAAGAGAGGAGATTCCATCTGAACATGAGGAAGAACTTCCTGACTGTGAGAGCCGTTCAGCAGTGGAACTCTCTGCCCCGGAGTGTGGTGGAGGCTCCTTCTTTGGAAGCTTTTAAACAGGGCTGGATGGCCATCTGTCAGGGGTGATTTGAATGCAATATTCCTGATTCTTGGCAGGGGGTTGGACTGGATGGCCCATGAGGTCTCTTCCAACTCTTTGATTCTATGATTCT